ATCTGGTTACTGTTTTTGTACCTAACTCAGGTACATCTACACAAACTATTGTCACAACACTGACTGGAGTATAGATATACCCTATTCTTCCCCTCCCCACCCCACCCCATCCTCTAATCAGGTACTTACTACCAAACTTATAGAAAAGTAGGATGTTGGCATGTGTCATGTCTTGGCTAACCTGTAGCATAACCAATGAGTAGTGTTCTCAGATAAATGGAAAAACACAATGTAAATTACTACAGAAACAGGTACTCAGAAAGATTCAGGTGCATTAGCTCAGAATATGCTAATATTAAGGAGATTAAAACCAAATTAAAATCAAATATGAATACAGACCATGTACATACCAACAATAAAATGTTGCATTATTATATTGTAGTTAAAGTAATAAAATTAAAACAACAATAGGAACTTGTGGAGGATAGATAAAATGAATATGCATTATAAGAGCAAACCAGGGTAAGAAATTAGGCACGCGGAAAGTAAGGAGAGTATAAATAACAAAAATGAAGATTTTAAAAATACTTGAATCGTGAAGTTTCAAAAAAGGTACCTGAACAGATAACACGACAGCAAGAAAGATGTAAAGCAGGGGTGGGCAAAATACCACCCATGGGTCAGATCCGGCCTGCCAGGCAATTTCATCTGGCCTGCAGGCAGGTGCCCACCAATTCACTGCATCTGGCCTGGCCCAGGTTGCCCCTGCTGCACTTGCATGGGGCTGAGCCGTGCTCACTCGCATGGGGGCAACACATATTGCGCTCCCACTCTCACTCACAAGGCAGCCCTGACCCTGCCCCACAGGTAGGGAGACGGCGGCAGGGGAGGGGAGGAGCTGTAGCAGGTGGGCAGGGAGCAGTGGCAGGTGGGGGTTGGTGCAAGGGAAGGGTGGCAGTGGCGGATGGGGGGCAGTGGGAGGGAGCACAGTGGCAGCTGGGCAGGAGCATGGGGTCTGTACTGGTGCCTCAAGGCCGGGGCCAGCGGGGGCCCAGAGTGGGGAAGCAGGAGTGAAGAGCCCATGCCAGTGGGGGCACAGGGTCTGCAAGGCTCCATCATGCAGGGCTTCCTGGGCTCACATGCAGTTAGTTCCTGGGTTCTCCACCTGCGCTATGCTCCTCTGTGGGGAGCCCCATGTGATGGAGCCAGGGGCCTGGCCCAACCAAGCTCCATGACCTGCAGCGCCAGCTTCATCGCGCGGTGCTCCCCTCAGCAGCCTGTGCAATGGAGCCAGTGGCCTGGCCACATGCAGTCCTGAGACTTGCCAGGACCATGTACCACCAGGGGGCTCCACCCGCTGCTGTCGCTGGCGGGCATGGGATGTGCACAATGGGGGAGCCCACACATCCCCCCTACCATACACATGCACCCACACCCCCCCACGCACTGCCCAGCAAACTCCACCACACACCTGTGGCCCTCCACAAGCCCTATACCCATCCATGCACCCACACCCTCCATACATCAACACACCCACATGCTCCCCCACCCCACATACACACATACCCATACCCATCCACCCACCCACTCATATCCACTCCCCCACACCCCACACAAACCCCACACACAACCACACCCTCACCCTCCACCACACGCCACATATACACACATACCTACATACACACACCCACAGCCCCCCACAAACCCTATACCCACCCACCGATACCCCCCACACAGACACACAATATACAAGAGAAAGACTTCATTTTGAGCTATTATGCAATCACCTCTGTACACAATGCAGATACAAATCGGAAAAATATTTTTTGAAATAAAATTAAACTATGTTATTGTCAATGTTTGATTTTTAGTATGAGCGCGCTGATATATTGGTCTGTATTGTATCGGCACCGATAGAAAAGGAAAATTAATGTTACAGGCAACCAAATGGGGTTTCGCTTACCGGGGTTTCGCTATAGCACTCATTAAAAATACCTACCTGGATTTACTTAGCGCTCAGCGGTTTTGTTATAACACTCAGCGCTGGAGGTAGGGAGAAACAGTGGCAGCAGGAGTGGTGGTGGCAGCGTCGAGTGAAGTGGTGAGTGGCAGCCGGTGGGGCTCAGGGTGGGGAGGCAGGAGCCCAGGGTCCACTCCAATACATGGTGTTGGAGTGGGTGGGGAGAAGCAGTGGCAAGAAGGGGCGGGTGGGGGGCCGGGCAGTGTAAGCATGGAGCCTGGGCCACTGGGGCCCAGGGCAGGGTGGCAGGAGCCCGGGGTCCACTCTGGCACATGGTGCTGGAACAGCCGGCAGGCGAGGAGTTGCAGCACTGACGGCGAGAAGGGGCGGTGGGGAGTGTGAGCATAGGGCCCAGGCTAGTGCTCAGGGCCAGGGCCAGCAGGGCGGCAGGAGCATGGGGGCCGAGGCCAGGGCTGGCAGGATCACAGGGCCTGGGCCAGTGCGAGCCAGTGCTCAAGGATACATGTGCAGTGTCCCCCGCCCCAGCCCACAGTGGAGCCTGCGGACCCCCCCATCCCTGGGCCCGTTACCTGTTCTGCCAGAGCCCCATTGCTCACCGTTAATCCCTGCGTTCTCACTGTTAACCCCTGGGCAGGTGGGTCCCCAACTCAGGCCCCACAGGCAGGGTGGCTTGTGCTGTGCACAGGTGCGTTGGTAGCCAGCGGGTGCAGGCCAGCAGGGGCCATTACGGCCGTGGAACAACGAGGCCAGGAGGATGCCTTCCCTAGCGGAGTCCACGCAGTGCCTTGCTGTAAGCAGCAGGGCCAGAGCCGGCAGGAGCGCAGGAACCAATTGTATTTATTTACATTAAACTCTATGGGAAAATGGGTTTCGCTTAACATGGTTTCACTTAGCACTCGGCTTTTCTGGAACCAATTAACAGCGCTAAGCAGGGGTTGCCTGCATCGGCAATCGGCTTTTTTTGACCAATAATGTCATTGATAAATGCCTCGTTCATGAGCACAGCCGCAGCATGCACGTGGCCAGGAATGCAGCCAAGCAGCTTGGAGACCAGCCTCTTGCTGGTAAGTCTATGAGAGGAAGAGGTTGGGGGGTGCAGATTGAGGCCCCCATGTTGAGGTAGGGAGTGGAGCTGGGGCGGGTCATGGGATGGAGCCGTGGGTAGCTCATCTGGGGGGGTTGGGGTGGCTCTCACCACTGTGCACACCCCCAGGGAGGCATGGGGGACATGTGCCCCCTGGATCTGTGTGCAGGGTGAGGGTAGACTGCCGCCGTGGGCTGAGGGCTGTATCGGCCTCTTCCCGGTAGGGGGCTGGGCTCAGGATGGGTAGTGGTGAGGCAGGGCAAGCAGTGGCCGTGTTGGGAGGAGTGGGCTACAGGGTGGCTGCAGCCCCCCACATAATCCCCCACCCAGTGTTGCCATCTCCCAGCCTGCCTTCATCTGCCCCCAGCACAGCTCCAGCCCAGCCCCTCTGCTGGGAAAAGGCCACAGCGGGCAGCCCGCCCTCTCCCTGCACACAAATCTGGGGGGCACATGCTCCCCATGCCTCCCCAGGGGTGCGTGTAGTAGGGGAAACTGTTCCCTGAATGAGCTGCCTGTGGCTACACCCCTTCCTTCCCCGCAGACTTACTGACTGGATGTTGTTCTCCAAGCTGCTGGGCTGCATATCAGCAGTCGGATTGGTACCAGCCAATATGGCTGATTAATAATCAGCCATCGGTATCAGCCAAAAAAATCTTTAACTGTTCACCCCTAATTTTTAGTATATAACTTGGGTTTTTTCTGGTTCCAAGGTGGCAAACTCCCTTGCCGAAAGGAGTACTTCCAGAGGCAAGGGGAGGGATTTCCACTGGCAACAGTCAGGGGTTAGGGGCAGGACTTCCAGTCCATAGATAGCTACCAGGGGGTGTGACACCTGTCAAGGGGCAGGGTTACCTGTGCAGCCCTTGACAGCTCACCAAACCTCATTCAGCAGCCCTTCAGCCAAAATAATTGCCCACCTCTAGTGTAAGGTAGTGACGAGAAGAAATGGAATTAAAAATAAGAATGTAGTTCAGGAGAGCTTTTGAAGCCCTGCAAATAACTAGTTCAGCTAACATTTTTTAATCCCGGTCCTCTTTAGAAGATTTAAAAACTTTCACAATGGACCTTATGACATTTCTTGGTGTATATGAAGGAAGGGATGAAGTATTGAATACACAGTGGGCACATCCACACAAGACGCCCACTGCGTAGTTATGCCCACTGTATTCTTGCATAACCGAGTACTAAATGACTGAGTCGTAACTGGCAAAGTGTTGCATCACCATTGCCTAGTGACACTTGCTGCACAGTAACTCGTTACTATTACACAGTAGCTCAGTACTGTGCGGTAACAGTTCATGCCTGGCAACACTACTGTGCATTAGGAACAAGCTACTGCAGAGTAAGCGTCTCATGTAGATGTGGCCAGTGATCGGATCAGAATTTGACTACCAGTATTTTAGCAACAACTTTGTAAATTGTTTAACTTTAATGAGATGCTCAATTATGAGAAAGGAGTCAAATCATAGTAAGCTTCAAAGTGTCCTAGTAGAGATCTGCAACAAAGCACATCAGAGAGAAGCAGTGACTCAACCTAAGTGCTAAATGATAACTATGCTTAAAATAATGTGGTAAATTTTGAGGAGTGTAAATATGAATAATTTATGACTATTCTAAATAGTCTTTTTCTATAGGATCATTTCATGTGGTGGGCTTAAATGTAAACAATGTGATTAACTTTTATTACATGGCAATTTGTCTGCATACCATAACTGCCCAGACATTAAGAAAACCTAACTTTATCACAAAAACTGCATTTTCACCTAAGTTAATCTTGTTTCTGTATATCTGATTTAGTTTCCCAATTAGGATAGACATGCTGCATATAAATGTCAGATCTAATTATATCTGAACAACAAAACCTGGTTACAAACCTAGCAAATGTGCTTTTTCAGGCACAGTTCCAGCTCTGCTGAACATGGCAATAAAATACCCAATAAACTTGTGCCAAATGTAATTTCTTAAGGCATTTTTTAAACTATTTTAGTTCTCTTAATGTACATGTACACAATGCATTTTTAACATGTCAATTATAGTTTCCTACATTAGCAAGAGAGAAAACCATTGAAAAACGCAAGATAATTTGAAATGTAGGATTCTGCACTCTTATTTAGAGAAGTTTGGCCAAACAGCATACCACCCTCTTACTGAGGGAAGAAGCAAAGATGGTTTTGTATTTAAGGTACTGAACTTAGAAATGTTTGGTTGTACCAAAGACTTATGAAAGGAAGCTGGCTGGATCAGTACTGGGCGCCGCACTTCAAAAGGGATGTGGCCAGCCTGGAGAGGGTTTAGAGGAGGGCCACCCGCTTGGTGAGAGGGCAGCAGGACAGGCCCTACGAGGAGAGACTGAAGGACCTGAACCTGTTCAGCCTCAGCAAGAGGAGGTTGAGGGGGGACCTGGTGGCTGCCTACAAGCTCATCAGGGGAAATCAACAGCAAAAAGGCAGAGCCCTTTTCTCCCCAGCACCACCTGGGGTGATAAGGAACAATGGTCATAAGCTGATGGAGAATAGGTTTAGGTTGGAGATCAGAAGGCAATATTTTACAGTTAGGGTGGCCAAAATCTGGAACCAACTTCCCAGGGAAGTGGTCCTCGCCTCTCTACCTTGGGCAAATTCAAGAGGAGGTTGGATGATCAGCTGTCTGGGGTCTTGCGAACCCAGCATTCATGCCTGCCTGTGGCAGGGGGTCAGGCTAGATGATCTGTTCAGGTCTCTCCTGACCCTAGCTACTATGAAACTGTGAAACTATGAAGTTCTCTTTGACTCATTTCCCCAGCCGCAAGAAGGATAATGATGGTGTCTTCCTACCACACAAAAAGTTGTGAGGATATACCCTGAGAGGATGCTTAGTAGTCTAATCTATATAGCAGCTTCCACAGATAGGCTGTTTTCCTTATTCACTGGATAAAAGTTTGATCGATCTATACAGCAATCCATAAAGCAGATACAAGAAAATGTCCAATTTCCATAAAACCCGGATTTGAACAATCTATTTGATTATTCCCCTAGAGCATGCTCTTTTTGACACAAGCATTTAGAATCATGGAAATGTAGAGTGAGACCTCAGTGGGTTATCTGGTCCAACACTTTGCTCAAGACAGGATCATCCCTATCTAAACTATTCTAGACAAGTGTATGTCCAATTCTTAACATCTTTGGGGACACCCTTCACACACAACTACCAGATGTAACACCCAACACCAAAAACTCCCTTTAACTTGCCACAGGTAAAGGAAGAGGATGGAAGCATTGAAAATGTCCTACCACTATAATGACAGGACATAATTTGTTAAAATGGGCTCAAAAGATTCAAGATGGTCACAACGAATTAAGGGCAGAAAAACAAGGAACCCAAACAGAAACCCTATTAATACTGTTTCTGAGACGTTCCTACTTATATTGAGCCATGCTCTTTTACAATATTCTGAACTCCCCTCTCCCTTTAAAAAAGAGCTTGTTCCAGTGTTTGACCACTCTCATAGGATATATTTAAAGGGTTTTATTACTTTCTATTTTGTAATTCTGGGGGAGGGTTCAATATGGCAAATGTAGGAACTCTTGGTGAATGAGAACCTGTGAGCACAGGGGCCTGGACCCAATAGACTAGGATCCTGGCCTTTTCACTTCCTCTGATCCTATGAAAGGGGAGACCTGCACTGCTGCACTTGACTGTGGTAGAGCTTACAGTGAATGATCTTGAGAGTTGTGTTGCCAAGAGTCATGTTTGGCACATGTTCAAGAAATAATTAATTGGGAATTACTGAAATATTTACCGCTTCTTGGAAATCGTATCTGCAATTCCTTCCCTCAGTATCTTCTCATTTGGATAAATAACATGTTGTTGTTTGCTTGCTAGATGAAAATGAGTGTTCCAACCCTAATGCTTGTGGCTCTGCATCTTGCTACAACACACTCGGAAGCTACAAGTGTGCGTGTCCATCTGGATTTTCCTATGACCAGTTCTCCAGTGCATGCCATGATGTGAATGAGTGTTCCTCTACTAAGAACCCCTGCAATTATGGTTGTTCCAATACAGAAGGTGGCTATCTCTGTGGCTGTCCACCTGGATATTACAGAGTTGGACAAGGGTGAGCTTTCTCCTCCACACATTCTACATTGATGATAATTATAGAGCAGTGGTTCCCAACCTTTTTTTGCCATGACCTGCTGCTGGGAGAGCAGTGTGGCATGGCTCGTCCTTTGTGTGCGGCACTGCCGGCATTGCTCCTGCAACCCTTATTTGGGTCATGACCCGAGGCTGTTATAGAGCAATAAGTTATATACCCTTAGGAAACACGAGCTGCCCAAATAAGGTTTACAGAAAACTCTGTCTGTACCAAAACTAGGGTTAGAATACTAGAAGTCTCTAACCTTTGCATACTACTGCGTGTGGCATGATGGTAGACTCCACAAGGCCAGCGGTCTGGCCAGCTATGTTGGCCTAACCTCTCAGACAGGGGTCATGCAGCAGGCCAATAGAGCTGCAGAAATGAGTGGTGTCCTGATGGATTAGGGAGAGGCTCGCAGCTATGTATGTGTGTTGTGCACAAGAATAAAGAATTGGCTCAGTTTAGCATAAGAACAAGAAAGTATGAATCTGTCTACATTCAGTGCAGAAAACCATCATTTTAAATCTAGCATGTGACCCAAATTAAATAAAATTGTATTTCCCTTTTTGCTTGTCAGCACAGTGTGCATTTAAAACTCACCTCTAAGTGTAATCCTCAGATAATATTATATATGAAAGGTGTAATCTGTGCTATGGTTAAGGGCTCAACCCAAAAATAAAGCAAAAAAAAAGGAAGTAATTCAAAATAGAAGAGTTTCCTTGTTTCCAATAGGGGTTAGAATTCAAGAGGAAAATTGGCTTCCCAAGGAACTGTTCTGTTCATTGTTCTGTGTATTGAGGATTACCAGGGATAATTACAGTCCTAATACATAACCACCCTTTTATTTAGTATGTTGCACTGTACAGAACAATGAAATACAATAAATTCATAGTTTTATGGGGTAATAGTGCTATGAGTTGTGTTCTCACTTCTAAGTGAAAAAGAGATTAAACTGAGGTAAAATGAAAAGGTTTTTTTGAGGTTGACCAGTTTGAAAAATGGGTCGCTAATCTGGTGATCATTGTTCAACAGCCATTGCGTCTCAGGGATGGGATTTAACAAAGGCCAGTACCTGCCTTTGGATGGAGATGTAGATGAAGAAAATGCCTTGTCTCCAGAAGCATGTTATGAGTGCAAACTGAATGGCTATTCAAAGAAAAATAGCAGGAGGAAAAGAAGTGTGAATGAAACTCAGCCTGCAGAGGTGAGTGAATACTGTAACAAACTACAGTTAGTTTGTATATGTGTTCACAGGCTGTCATACTCTATGATTTTGGCAGAAGAAAAGGGTGGAGTTCTGTCGGTCACTGTGAAGGATCATGTAGCCATGGGGTTTTTACATGATGAAAGGCTTTCAAACCTGAGTGGCATGAGGACAATCATATTGCAGTGGAATTACTAACTGACATTAGAGAACAATGCTTCTTTCTGAATAAGGCTCAATATCTTCCTGTTACTTCGATGCATATGTTTGAAGGGAGTGAGCCAATACTGGCATGTGTGTTGGGGGGAAACGTATAATTGGCTCCCACCACCAAGTGCGTTTAGAAGAATTCCCATTGTAGTCGTTTTTTGTTAAAGCTGCTAGAAGCCTTAAGGCATATGTACACCTATTAGGCTATGTAGCTTTAGTCTGGGAGACTTTACACGGCTCATTAGTCTGTGTATTGCTGAAGTGTTTCTACCTCGCTTTGCTGCACAGTGCTGTAAGACTGTGTTATCTGCATTACAGGATGTTGTTTTATGGCAGTAACCCAACTGCTGAAAGTTGTAATAAGGGGAAAGCTATTGTCGGGGTTAAAGGAAGGCAGCGGCCAAAAGATATAAATCATCTCACAGTTTTAAAAGGGCTCTGAGTGAAGATGAAAATGGATATGGAAAAGAGATCCTGCTTCGTACTAAATGTACATATTGTAGTATTGACAACATTTCTTACACCTGCCAACTAAGCAACTCTTCAGGCAGAACACCACAATGGCACATTAGTTATCTGATATTAAAATGGAATTTGGGATTCCCGCAGTGTGGACTGCAAAAGGCTATGTCACTCCCACAGTATGCGAGTGACTCTCCTCCATATGTGAACAGGATAGCTGAGTTCATGGTGTTCTGTTCTGTAGCATATCATTCCCAAAACTCGTGCATTAATTGGCTTTGGAAGGCAATTTCTTGAGAGATTTGCATGCTTACCCTCCCTTCTCTTTTATGTTGAAAGCTGGTATTAAATACCAAAAAGCAGAGGGGGGGAGGGGAAGGGACAGGAGGACCATGTGATTGACTAAGGTTTAGGTTTGAACTGAAACCAATGTTTTGTCCATCTTCTAGAAAGGGAAAACCAAAAAAAAAGTTGGGGGGTGGCACCTAAACCAAATATGCCCAATGTGGTCTCCAACTATTTTACGTAGCGTCATTCACAAAATGGAGGAGGTGGTAATACCCTCCCACCCAGTAGCTTAGTGCTTAAAGCACTCAGGATGTGAGAAACCCAGATTCATTTGCAGTCTTCTCCTTGAAATGATTTGAACATATATCTTCTAGGAGAGGACTTGCCAGGCTGTAGGTCCTTTGGGTCAATGCACTCCCATTCTTCCCTTCTGGAGCCGTTACATTTGTGCAAGATATGGAAATGTTCATTGAGCTGGAGAGAGTGAAAGCGACTCTCCCTGCCTGCCAATGGAAAGCCCTAGGCTCTATTCCCTGCCCTTGTAAATGCTCATTTATCTGAGGTGAAAAAGCATGACAGGAGATAGTGAGAGCAAATTCCTTTTCCCTCAGCACACATTTGTGGTAAGGGCACTCTTGGGGCAGGAGTGGTGGAGGTGTGGGGGGGAGACATTTTATCAGCCTAATTTGTCCAACAGTTTTAGGACGAATTAACCTACATTTATGATGGATTTGCCAAAAGTTTGCTGAGTATTAGAGGAGAAACTTTTGTGCATGTGTCTGGAGATAAAAGCATATCATTGCTACATGCAGCCATGGCAGGAAGATGGAGGAAAGGGTACATTTCCTTATTTGTCACTTGAAAACAGTAACATGCCCAAGAAGCAAAGCAGCTTTGATACTTTTAATCATATACAAGCACATGTTATTTTGTCAGTGCATACCCAAGGTTACAGCTCAGCACTTCGCTCTTACCACTGTGGTAAATTTACATCATTTACTGTTTTCAGGATTATTTAGTAACCTAAAGAAAAGAGGACCCTGCAACTAGGATTAAAAGAAAAATATCTAGACCTATGCACTTTTGACTGCAAAATATAAGAGCACTTTGCAAAGAGAAGTTTTCAAAGTAAAGTAAAAAAATCCATCCGATGAAATAGTTAATTTCTCATTTAATTCAGTGCTCCCTATTATTATTACAATATCTAGTTAATGTCAGGCAAGAGCTATTACAAGTCATTGTTGCCTAGTGCTATTAGGTCTGTGTGAAATCCCTAGTTTCATTTGGAAATATTCACAGCAAGTACACACCCCATGGAAAAAAAAATCTTGAGGGTCAACTGGCAGCGTGCCTGAGATTTAATCACAACTTGTCCCAATGCCTCCAGACACCAACAATTTGCCTTATTGTGCTGAATGTTTCATCTCCAGCACACAAAATATAGTAGAATAGGGCCATCCACTTCCCACCTTTACAAATGCACATCAACCCTGACAGCAGAAATTCTCATACGCAGGAGAGAGAGACCGTATTTACTTACAAAAAAGGCATAGTCCTTTCTTAACTTTTTTTCTTTAGAGGCATCTGTAAAAGCTTGTGTGTTGTCAAAACAAAACTTTAGGTCATTGTGTCCATTTTTGCTTACATATGTTCACATCGGAGACTAATGTCCGGAGTGGATCCAAACAGGTTTGTTTTACAAAGAAATTTACCTTTTTCAGCTGATTTGCCACAAGTGTAGTGGTTTTCTTTCCTTCATTGCTCTTACCATGAGATGCTGAACCTAGTATCTTTTGAAACCAGGCTCATAGACTGTCCATGAAGAGTGGTCTACCTACATTTTCAGAGAACTTCCAGCACATCACAGTGGCACAGGGTCCTATTTTTCATCTATAATATTTACACTGAAGTATAATTAGGTCATTTGAACAGTTAGAAGAGACTGGACCTCATGTTTCTTTCCTCCACAGTTAAACTTGTGCCTTTTCTCCACATGGACTTTTTTTGCAAGCATAAAATTATGTAAACTCTGAGGAAGGATTGAAATATGAACCCTCTGTAGACTTGATGCTGTAACTTTAATTATCCTGTTAAGGCTGAGTGAGAAGCCCTAAAGATTTACAGGGTGTGTGATGTGGAACAGAGTAGTTCTCCCAGCTGGAAAGGATATACAATGCCTTCTTTCACAGCTGTAGTTTGAGAGAAGGTCAGAAACTGTTACTAATCCAACTCATTAGCTTTCATTGCTGGAGGAATAATAGAGTATGTCTCTCTAAAGGTCCTTTTTCTCCTCTTTCACCTCAGATTGAACAGATTAGCTTGGAAAGTTTAGACATTGACACTCCTCTGAAGATGAGGTTCAACAACTCTGGGCTTGGCAACAAACACCACATCCTGGAACTCATGCCAGCCATAGAACCCCTTACCAATCACGTCCGCTATGTCATCTCCCAAGGCAATGATGATGGCATCTTCCGAATCCATCAGCGGGATGGACTCAGTTTCCTGCATATGACCAAGAAAAGATCTGTACCTGGCACTTACACACTGGAAATCGTTAGTGTTGCTCTATACAAGAAGAAGGAGCTCAAGAAACTGGAAGACCAGAATGAGGATAACTACCTCCTAGGAGAACTTGGTGAAGCTCTCAAAATGAGGCTGTGGATTGAATTCTATTAGCTGTCTTCCAGACTTAGTCCAGTTCTTCAGTCACTTCCGTTCATCTATTTATCCACCTGAGCATGTCTATTTTTCAAAGCTTTAAGCAGTCAATGACTTGACTTTTAAAAGAAAAAATAAAAAAGTGGGAGGGGATGGGGGGTGGGGGGAGAAAGAAAAGAAAAAGACCTCTCTATCTTTCCATCCTGCCAAGACTGCAGAATGACCCTACAGGAGGGGCAACTTTGACTCTGCCATGGCCAAATGCTTGATTACAATGGCAACCATGGTTACTGTATCTTTTATATAACCTCAGTTTAAAGTGTATTAAAAAAAAAGCCTAAAGTTCAAGAGGTCAACATATGGCACTAAATGGCACAAAATGTGAGCTATTTTTTTCTGTTAGCAGTCTATAACACTTTAGGTATTTTGCTATAGTTCCTAATTAAAAATATAGATGTTTATTTATTTTTAATGCAGTAATATATGGAGAAATTAACAAATTATGTAAGCAAAAAGGGAAACGTGCTTGTTTTTCTTTAGATTTATAAATTTGAGCTATTACATTTTAGAGTTACTTTCTTAAAAAAAAAAAATTCCAGTAGATTTGAAAGGTTTCCTTTTGTTTTTGTGCCAGTCGTCCAAATAGCATAGGGATATTTTTTAAAATATCACAGATCTGAAAGAGCACTAATACATCCTCTAGATATTCTGAAGTGCTCTTCAAAACTATGACTATTCAAAATATGTCTTAAATGAACTGTAATTACAACATTAGTCTCTGTAAAGAGGATATTTCACTGCAGGTCACTAGGACTTTATTCTGTATCAGCTATATCAAATAATGGAAGCTGAAGCACAACCACTGTAGCAAAATACCTTGACTGCTTGTAATACCATTAGCATTGCAGACCAAACCGTACTGTATTTCCTTCTGATAACCTCAAGGAACCACATGTGCTACCACAACACCTCATTCTCACAAAAGGTGCTCTACATACTTGCATTACTGTAGGCAGCTGAAGAAAAGAGTCTTTCTTTGAAGGGAACACCTGATGTATCATACTATTTGGTGCTGGCTTGGATTAATAGTCCATTTACTAACGTTGAGCTGTTTCAGGACTGCCATATGTGCAAGCTAATTATGCAGTGCAGACAAGGGAAATGTGTATTTGAAATCAATTTGTTAGAACTTACATTAATACTGTAGTTATACACCGTATGCCTCATTTTATCATAGCTTATTTTGTAAGAAAGATGTTTGTACAATGAGTTGACATTTAGTTTACCGTAGTAATTTTTTTTAATGTTGTACCATATTATGTGTTAAATGTATGTCTCCAATGGTGCTTTTTTGACAGCTGGTGCCTGTACCTAGTCATGTAACAGAACTTCATATGTGAAACAGCCAAAGAACATGCCAACTCCAGGGTTTTTTTTTTCCAGTTGTATACCGGTGCTGACCAAAGATTACTAACAAGTGATCACTTTTTTATTATTATTATTTTGTTCAGTTTGGGTGTTTTTTCTGGGGAGGGGACCATTGTAAATTTTTAATCAAATATTTGTGAGAAAAAAATGTTTTGTTTGTAGGTCTGTATCAATATGACAACACTTTTCTTGCAATAAAGCTTATTTTGGGGTAGGTTTTTTTCTTGATTTGCCTGTGTATTTCAAACAATGTATATACTAACCCCCATTTGCATTCTCCAGTGGCACTACTAGGTTAATAAGTAATGCTGAGCTATATGTTTCTTCCACTAGGGAGATACTGCCCCATTATGCAGGAAGGTTTTTTGGAAATCTGTACCCAACTTGGTTTTGCAGAATGTCTCCTTTAAGAATGCTATAGATTACCCTGAAGTCCTTACTATGGACTGTAAAACGTGCATTGCCTTGCTACTGCATATTGGATTTAATGTGGGGGTTTATTTCAAATAATGCTATCCAAAACTGTATGTGTTGCTGTTGTTGCTATGACAGAAGAACAGAGAGGAGGATAGAGCGCTGGGCCAAGAATCAGAAAACCCAGATTCCCTGTTCTTTCTGTATCTTGTACTTTTAGCATTGGTAAGGCACTTGAACTCTGACCTGCAGAGTTCACTTTTTCTGTAATATACAAATTAGGGAAAAACAGAGAAGCCCTTTGGAAGAACCACCCCTACTTGCTATTCTTAGAGAAAAATTAGTTGTACAGCTTGACTTTTTACCTCATCATGATTATTTCTACAGTAGGGTGTCTAATTGAATTGTATGCAGCAGGTTTCCATTGGTATACAAAATCTGGTCATTTTTTTTTACCAATGGTACTACCTTTTTAACACAGGAAAATGATTTATTAATTTAAAAATACACAGTGAAATACCACTGTACTCTACCAAATAAACCAACATTAACATTAGAAAAAATCATATTTTCAAGTGTCAGTATTCATGTTATTTACATGCTAAGTAAAAGTCATGACAAGCTTTTAAGGAACTGTGCACTTGCATTAAACTCTAAGGGGAGATAAAAAACCCAGAAGTATGGAATTATGAGTGTTCTCAATGTTACCCTTTGACAATGAGGAATTAGCTGCAAAGAATGATTTGAGTTATTTGCCTTGGGGTATTCTTTCCTAAAATGTACGTGTGTGTTTAGATTCATCTGGCATGTGTTAGTGCTGCAATTTAAGTATTACAGTATGAAATTACATGGAACCAAAGTTATTTGACACTAGCCTACGATACTGTCATGAAAGGTTCATTAAGGTTTAAATCTGCTCCTGAGTAAAATGATTGAAATATATAGCAGTAATCCTAAAAGTCCTTCTGAGGCCTTGCAAGTGTATCTGGTATTGCAGTGATATTACCATTTTTTTTATCAGACAGTTTCCAAGAAAATTAGTCATTTTCCTATCTGGGAATACTCCAGGAAGTGCTCATTACAGTGACAGCCAACAGAGTGAACTGAGTAGAATGATTATCTTTTGCCAATGATTGCTACCGTTATTTGCTTTCCATTTTCAGATGTTGGTTAACAATCCCTCAGAGGCTACAGCATTTAAGTATTAGTGTATTTTATAAAGTCTAAACATATAGAGATGCTTACATAGACCACGAACATTTTTTGGTCTATTTAATAGGCTAAAAGAGTAAGTATATTTTGCAAAGCCATCAGCTAAATAGGTTTTAATGACTGGGCCTTCAAAACCTTTTCCCTACTACAGTATCTGAGCTCAACATACCTGTGAAAATCTTGTAGCAAATCCCCCAACATAACTGAAGATGTAGTTGACAAAGTTAAACCTTATCTCTGTTACTGGCAATTCTATATTCTCATTTGGGCTAGGGACATAAGTTACACATAAACCAGTTTAAGTGATCAGAAACTGGTTTAAACCTGTAATGGAACCAAAGTTCAATAAACAAACCACTTTCAAAAGGCTGAAACTGGTTTAAGATAAACCTAGTTGCATGTAGTATCAGACTTAACTGATTTAGGTCAAACTGGTTTATGAAACTTCTGTCCCAGGTCCTTCCTGGGTTCAAGTTAAGTCAGTCCCCCAGCATCCCAGAATGCTTTGCAGCCCTGGGCTGGGCTGGGCTGTCTACTGTAGCAGAGCAAGTTTGACCCCACCCCTCTGCATGCTAGCCAGAGCACTATTGCTGCTCGAGTTGACTGAGAAGGGGGTGAGGGTGGGAAACCTGGCCCCAGACCACAGCCTCTTACAGGCTTTTCCCCAACTCACTGCTAGAAGAGAGGACAGGGGTGTGGCCAGACCCTGGGCCAGGCCAGCAGGATGAGGTGCAGGGCAGAGGGGGCCAGATGCCAGCCAGGCCCAGGCCCAGGCAGAGGGGAGGGAGAGGAGTTTAAACCCCCTCCTCCAGCCCGCCTGCCTGTTTTTATCTTGTTTGCCCCACCAGCAGAGGGAGATGGGAACATGGCCAGATGCTATCCCAAAGCCAGCTTTTCTGAGGGAGTTTTGAGTCGAAAAAGTCTGAAGACTACTGGCATAGATGGTACTGAAGGGCTTCTGGGCATACTTGGAAGCAGACATTTAAGCGACTAGAAACCCACTAGCAAAAATAGGTGGCTCAGGACAACTCTTGAGAAATGCAATATAGAACTTAAGTCCCTGATATAGGAATTAATTAAGTAAAACTTGACCAGTTAGGGCCTTGTTACACATTAATTTAGGCAGCTCCTGGCACTCTTAGCCCCTGGATTGTTCATACATTAACACCTGAACCTAGTATTAAGTATTCTTTAGGTGGCTTTAAATTATGCCATTCCAGCCTATGCTTATCTTCAATCTGTGTTATCCAGCTCGTGTTACGCTACACGTAGCCGATCTAGACTCAAGTGTAAACAAACAGCCCACCTACCTCTCCACCCCTGCTGGCCCAGATCTGGACCACTGCCCTTCCCCTCCCCTCAGATCTCCACTCACTGCCTCCCTTGACTCCCCCTCCGCATTTGTGGCTGCCTGCACGGTCTGTCCCAGCAGCTCTCTGGGCTGGGCTCAGCCCAGAGCAGAGAAGCAGCCTGGCAGCAGTGGCAGTGAGGTCAGACAGGCAGATTAACCCTTCCATATCTGCTGCCCCCCTGGGACAGACAGCACAGGCGGTCACAAGTAATCAGAGGGCAGTGAGAGGGAGAGAGCCCAGGGGGCAGGGGGGAGCCCTAGGGATGCAGGTGAACCAGAGGAGCTCAAGGGAGTAATGGGGAAGCCTGGAAGGGAGAGGGCAGGGGCAGGATTCTTACCTTTCAGCCCTCCAGGCTACTCCAAACTCACGCTAGCACTAGACACCCATCACCATGTGAGCAGCTCATGGTGTGACGTAATAAGGCTCTAAGATGCATAAAAAGACTTGGCCCTCAAATTAAAATTCTGAACTTTAGTAGCCTGCTCCCACCAAGAAGAAAACACATAAAACAAACTATGAAAACACACTATTGTACACTCTTGGAACAAACTTTGTCCCTCACGACTGACAAAGATTTTATACTCTCTGTGGGTGCATCTACATGAGACAGGAAAATTAACTGATGAACTGTAACTGAGAAGACTTGCTAATAATAGGAGCTAACAAAGGCTCTGAAGCTCTATTAGGTGCTTACGTTTGGACCAGTGCAGCAAGCTAGCCCCCTAGGCTGCATCCACACATGGTGTGGACATTTGGTTCCCTGGAAACAACTAGCAGCGGCACACCTCAGACAGCCGCTAGTTGTCCCTGGGGAACACCTGTGCCACGTGCCCTCTGGTGTGCAACAAGTTACCTGGGGTGGGGGTAGGAGAAGCTGGGGCCAGCACTGGACTGGCCCCAGCAGCCTTACCTGGGGTCCTGGGGCCCTCCCAGGGCTGCAGCAGTGGTGACTGCCACGCGGAGCCTGACCAGCAGTCACAGCGCAGCTATGGGTGGCCCAGCTCCACTTTTGAGTGGCGTGCACTGCCAGTGTGTATGCCAGTGTGTGTGTGCTGCTCTCCTTTTATTCTCCGTGGGGTTTTTTTAATCCCTGGATATCCAGAGGTTAAAAAAAAAAAACCCTCCATGCTGCTCCCTTGCAGTGTGGGGAACAACTGAATGTGTAATTTGTGGCACAGACTGCACGGTCACACTTGTCTGGACATGGCCTGAGTGCTGCATGCATGTCCTTGAGGTCTGCAGTACTTGGAATAAATACATTCCAAGTTAGACCAAAAACCAGGAGCCTGCACATCTGTTCTATATTTAGTTTTCTTCCTTTCCCATTCAATTCCTAAGCACCCTGTTGAATTGGGAGGATGGGCTCAGGCTGATGCATAAATCTTTAACCACTGAAAACTGCGTTTACTTCTATAAGAACTCCAAGAAACTCTACAGAATGGCTTCCGCACTCTCCTTGTCCTACAGTCCAGTCCTAATTGAAGTCATATTTCCCCTGCTACTTTACTGGTTTGACCCTACTTTTTCAGGACAAACAGATGTGAAGAGATTTTGATTAACAAAACCATATTTGGCACCATGTTTTCAAACATACTTGGAGCTCAATACTACATCACTGAAGTCAACAGGATCTTTGCCATTGTCTTACATGGGCTTTGGCTCTGTCTCCTGGTAGTGTTCTCTAGATCTCATGAAAAGTTCATTGCTCCTCTGAATACACACACAATATGCAGACATAGAGGGCACATCTACACATTTATTAATGCTTTATTAGGCTATTAGCACGGTTTTTGCCATGACGCTACTGTACAGTGTTATTAGGCTAATGCACAGTAAGCGTCTCATGTAGATGTGCCCACAGGGAGTATAAAGCAGAGTTTCAGCATGATCCTTTTCAACATCAGCTATTGCCAATTTGCAAGCTTTAAGCCTCTGCTGCATCCGGCTCTTACAAGGCTGTTCAATTTTACCAAAACTTTGGTATACTAAAAATACTTTAGCTAGTGGAAAATGCAAATGTTTCCATGAACTCCTAGAACAGTAATTTACACTGGAGAATGGATATTTTATTAACAGCTCAAAGCAGTGGTGCTCAACCTGCTAGTCCCATAAACTGGATGAGTGGTATGGGATCCTGCGGGCACCAGCTAGATCCTGCAGGTCTGATCCAGCATGCGGCTGGTGCACCAGATCTGGCTACAACAAAACCTCATGCGTTGGCCCAGCCCTGAATGCC